TGGGATAATATAACGGCTAAATTATTCTCAGATCCATTAATCAGAGATGTATGACATATCATATCACAGGAGTTCTATGACAGTTCTCTGGCACTATATGCACTTTTCATAATTTTATGCTAATCATTTTACAGATCCCACATAGGGAAACTTTATTGAATTTTTAGATAAATGCCTTTCTGGCTAAGAAATATAAAAAATGGCTAGGAAGATAGCATTTGAAATAAATGATGCACAAAGAGTTATAAACACTCTAAGAGGGAGGGAGTACTCAGATCCTAAGCCATTAAATGAGAGTCCCAGCATCATTTTTATTTTGCACTACTACCCTACTAAAGGTGTTACTGTTATTACTTCTATTACTACTGCTACTGCTACTATTATCGTTAAAACTAACTATTTTCTTATTTCCCTTCTTTTCAACCCATTCGATAATTTTGTCAATAGAAGTTTTTCTTGGTGATTTTTGATGATGATAAAAACTAGCCAATGTGCTAGCGCTAAGGCTGATTTCGATCAATAAAATGTTATACATTTGTGTTGGAGAACGACTTTCTCTTTTCCTCCTATTATTAAAAAGGGTTATGAATTCAATCCAGTATGTTTCATATTCATCCATATATTCGGAATATTGTCCCATAGAAATGTGACTTGTAGAAGAGAATCGGTTTGATCCTACTAGAAATTGGCATAGTAAGGTGCGGATAAGTATATATATATATCAGATATTTTTTTTTAACGAGTTTAGTGTCAAGAAGATAATGACCTACCTTGAGATGTTGCATCATTTCTCCATTCAGCTTCCGTACACATTTTTGAAGCTCATTACTTAATGTTAAGATGGTTCTTTTAAGATTATTATCTCGTGGTCCCATTAGATATTTGCGAAAAAAGATGATAGCAATGGCGACGATTATATAAATGTTTACGTTTCTAGAAAAAATGCTCTGGATCATATCCATTATTAGGATACCTCAGCTCGTCATCTCAGAAATTACAATTGTGACACCAAAGACTATGATCAAGAAAATATCTGAGTTTGAAAACATTTTTTAGATAGCGTTTTATTAGATTTATGTGAAGTTGTTATTTTTTTATTTCTTGGAGGAAAAGAAATACCAAAGCGCTTTTTGAGAAATAATCCTTTTATATGATTTACAATCGCCTGGCAAAAATAAATACCCATATATACTAGCATAAAGAATCCACATCGAAATATGGATCTGAACATTTGGCTGAAAGCGCTTGTGTATGAAAATGATAATATGTATAGACAGAGATCTAGATTTACAATTATGTTAAATCAAAATTTTATGAATTATGGCTTTCAGTTGTCAAAAATATACTAATAAAGTAAGGTTGGGTTGCGTAGCAATCTGGTATTACCTATCCCTTGTAAATCATAAAACTACCAAAAAGAAAATCAATCCACAAATGGAAATAATTCCAGAACTCTCAAGCAAAAAAATAAGAAATTATGCCAGAACTTTCTGAAAAAAAGGGAATATCACTACCGGAATAATTATTGATTTGACACCACGATCTGACCCACGATCTGCCCCCAAAGATTTGCAAAATATCTGACGTATTTTATAAGATCTTGGCCTCCTGGCTTCATTGTTACAAAAAAGCATCAGTCATTATTATGAAAATAGCACATCTAGGTCTAAAAATAGGAGTACTGTAAGGCGTCAGGTCTCTTATCAATCAGAATATTAGCATCCTCCTTCAGTCAAGATCCAGGCGATCAAGAGAAAGGAAAGTTTACCATTATTTTTCTTACTCTTATTTCAAAAAAAATTCATTAAAATGGTTAGGTTATCTCCTGCGGTCCAAAGGACCAGGGAGGGTCTGATTTGCCGTAACGATCTTAGAATGCAAATATATCAACATCTACCAGTCCAATTTTGATGAGAATTGAACGTCTGGATTCAGCAGGTTCTGGATATTTATCAAATTTCGTGAAAATCTGATCACTGGATGCATAGTTATTCAGAAATTAGTAAAGCCAATTATTTTGGATATAATCACGAAATAATCTTGGAGAAGCCACATTACCAAAGTGACGTGAGAAGTGATGATGATCCGGCAACCTACAAAATACTAGTTTCTGATTCTAGGAACCTAAAGGAGGTGAGAAATTAATAGGTTGTTATGTAAGAATTCATAGCTACCCAGTGAGTCCCTTAATGTATTATTTGCACTATATAAGTATTGAAACTTCAACCGCCTACGAAACGTGCTCCAGCTATTGTCGAAACTTCAAACTAATTCAACCAGATGTAGGGCACTGAGAGCTTCAAAACAAGCTAAGATGTGAAGTATTTGGATCATAGGAAGTCAGAATAGCTTTGACAGTTGGGAAAATTTACTGTACTACATCATGGGTTAGAAGTTAATTGACAAATTATAGATTGATTTTGCGTAATACGAATACTGTGGAACCGTCACTTCCAGATGCTATGATCGTTACAAAATATGGAACAAATCTCGATTCAGCTGAAAAAAAATAAACCTATATGATAATTCAGTCTAAGCGAGTATATAATTCATCCAATAATTCTCCTGCCTTTAGCGCTTGACTTCATCGCTTTAGCTCAGCAGGCGGTTACCGGAGAGATAATAGGACTCATTATTGGTAAGTCTTTCCTTTCGTATCTTCCGTCACGATAATAATAACCTCTATCGCGACTACTATATTCATCATATCCACCATATCTATTATACCTATTATCGTCCAATTTATCTAGAATCTCTTCTTCAGAATCGTTGTCGTGACTACAGTCATTATCATCATTCATTTCTTGTTTTCCAGAGGGAAACAGTGTGGAATTATGATTGACATCCTCATCAAAATATATATCATCGTTTGACTGAACCCTGGGAAGCTTCTTAACTTCATTCGCTTCCTCTTCTACTATCCTAGCCGAGTTCTTGTATGGTGTATCCCAATAAGCAGTCTCATCATCAAGACTTTCTGTAAGCATTTTTATATAATCCTCCAAATTGGCTGATAAGATGAATTTTCTTTAGGCAAGATTTTTTCGCTAGTCTCAGATTTTTTGGTCACATGATTTTGTTCTTGACCACTGGTCAAGATGTCACGTGTTTATTCGTTACCTGATCTATAATATTTAAGATTTGAGAATCAGTTAATTCTGATATACTTCTTACGCCGTATGAAATTCCATAAGCCTTGTCAATACCTATTCCCTTGACTTATTTCTTAGTTGTAGGATCAATAATTTTTCCAAACAGCTTATAAACACTCCCAGCTCTTTGGGTCTTCTTATATAAATTTGAATCCGAAACTTTGGGTAGAGAAGCTTTAATCATAGTATAAACTTAAGACTTTGCAGTTTTTTCGGCTATACCAGTTTTAGAGCAAATTTCTGCAACCTTATTTTCGTATAATTCTCTATAAG